GGGCCGCCGCCCGATGCGTCATTTTCTGCTGTAGAACCGGAGCGCCTCCGCCTGCCAGCGGGGCCCGCCCCTGCCCGCTCGCAGCCGGGCGCGCCCGCTCGCCGCCCCCGGGGTTCTCCAGACCTCCCTCGGCGCGGGGGGGGGCATTGCCGCGTGCGCCATCGCTCGGGGCGGGCGGCGCGGACGCGCGCCCGCGCTCCCCCCGGCGAACGCGGTGCCCCGCTGCGCCTTCCCAGGGGTGACTTGCGACGGTCGTGCCATGCAACCTCTGGCGCCATCTGTGCTCTCGCCCTCTGGTCAGACAGCGGCGCGGCCCTCTACTTTCTGTCGGCTATGACCATGCAAAAGGTCGGCTGCATCCAATTATTCGGCGCCCCGTCGGATCCGGGCAAGACTCCGCGGTGAGCGCGGCCGCCTGTCTGCCCTCCTCAGCCCCGAGCCTCTTGCCCAGGTCATTGATGCCGGCGCTGGCTGGAGCGGGACCAGCGATGGGCGGGTTGGAGCTAGGCCTGACTGCGGGGCATGCCTTGTCGCGCGCCGGCGGGCCTCCCGGATGGGCCCCCCCCCACCCCTGGCAAGCGCGGCCTGCGCGTCGGACGGCCGAGCATTCCAGGTGTGGACCAGGGGGCGCGCACAGCACCACCTCGCAGTCCACGCCCTGGCCTGGAAGGCTCGACCCCGGGCCCGCGAAGCTGAAGGGGGATCCGTGCCAGGTCTGCGCGAGGGCGTCGGCGACCTGCGGGTCGGGGCGCAGGGCGCGCCTACCTGGCGGCGCCTCCAACTTGCCAATCAGGACTAGCTCCACCAGCGGGCATCCATCGCTCTCGGCGACGTATCCCTTATGCGCTGCTTGGTTTCCAAACCTCTCCTCGTCGGCGCGGCGCCTGGGAATGGCGGCGCCGAGCGTGCTCGGGCACTGAGAGCCTGCCTGCGCGAGATGCGGTGGGCTAGCGGCGCGCTGCCCGCGGGCTTGGAGACGCGGCCCCCCTGCAGCAGCGCCCTCTTCGCATGTAGATCGCCGCTGCGACTTTCCTGGTCGACCAAGTTGCGCAGGACAGTACCTACTTTGACGTCGTCTTGGACGGTCTGCCCGCGCGCTCTCAGCTCATTCTCCCAGAAGCCTGTGCATCGCCATCTGCAGCGAACTCCGCGCCGGCACGCTGTCTCCAGGCTGGCTGCGAGTGGCTGCCTGGCCCCCGCTGCCACCCATGTCACGGCGTCGGGCCCGAAGATGCCCGAAGCTCTTGGAGCAGCCGCCACACCGAATCACCCCGTGCCGGAGGTGCTTATCGGGTTCAAACCCGGCAACATTGTCCCGTAGCCCCGGGGGGTCAAGGGCGACGCCAGGCAGAGGGGCGCTCGGGGGCCTGCCAAGAGGTTGCGCCCCGAGCTGGGGGTCCCGCCTCCCGCATATGTCACTGCCTGGACGCGGTCCAACTCGCCTCTGTCCCAAAGCCCAACGTCGGAACCTGCCAGGGCTACTGATAGAGTACAAATGGCGCACCTCTCTTCCCTAAGCACAACCAGGTTGGCTGGAACCACCGACTCTTCCAAGACCAGGAGGGAGGCGCTGAGTGGGTAGCCGCTGATGTACATCTCCTTCCACTTGACTGGGCATCCGCTCTGCTTGGCCACCGGGTGGTGGTGCGAAACCGTCGCTAGGCGCCCTACAGCGCGGAGCAGTTCCTCGATCCGGGCGTGCAGCGTGCGGAACTCTTTGGCGTGCACCCCGTGGTTCGCTCTGAACCTATCCCGGATGGGCAGGCGTGCCTTGTTCCAGGGGTCGCAAAAAGCTAGGACGGCCTCCCATACATATCCGTTTGGGCCAGGTTTGTCATACATACGGGTGGAGCAGCACCCTGGGCTCGCGGACCATGATAAATGATGGCCAGCATATTCGTGCCCCAGCAGGAGCTGAGCGGTTTCTTGTCGGGTCCCCGGAGACTGACACGTAGCTCTTCCCACGCGTCGGCTGACTTGCCCAGGTCGGCCTTAAGGTGGTCAACGGAGGGCTGCCTGGTGTGCCGCTGACATTCGCAAGTAGTCTGACTCCAACAGGCTGGTGGCTGCCGTGGGGTGCCAGGAGGTCGGCGTCCTCCTTTTCCCGCCACTAGCTGGACGTACATGGCCGCATAGGCTCAGGCGGGAGCTGGTTCCCTCGCACTGTTTCCTCCATGTTGTCGGTCTGCCGCAACCTTGCCAGGTGCAGCATCACGGCCCAGGTGGCTGTGTGTGCACGTAGATTGTGGGATCCAGGCCGAGCTCAAGGTCGGGGAGGGAACCGTCGTGGCTGAGGAGTTTCCTGCAGTGCTCCGCCAGGTCCCTGAGGAGCACGTCGCCAGCGCCGTACATATGTGGATGGAAGCTCAGGGCACAGAAAGGCACCGGCGCGAACCCTGGGTCCATCAGCAGCCTGGTCCCAGCGGTCTGGAGGTCCTCTGCGAGGGGACCCCAGTCGTGGCCGCTTGGCAGCGGCGAATCAACCAGGGCTGCGAAGCTGAGCTGTTGCTGGCACTGTCTTTTGGAAAGCCTCTTTCCTCTGGCCCTGAGCTCCGCGTCAGAGGCCATCTAATAGCCTGGTCTGCAGGTGTGGCCTTGTCTGTAACAGAGTCGCCAGACAGCGTGGCGGGTCGCAACTTCAAGTCATCCTGCAGTCGTCGCTGGAAGCCTGCCCGTCCAGGGTCTGCAAGCCGTATCCATATGCCTGCTTCAACGCTCCAGGCCGCCAGGGTGCGGAGCTGGGACTCAGTGGCTGTGGCGGGCGCTGAACCGAAGCGTCTTGAATAAACTACGCTGGGTCCGCGCTCGCAGCGCCACGATGCCGCGCAGCTTCCGTTGGGGCCGCGCTCCCAGGGCCACGATTGGGCCACGATCCGGTGCAAGGTACGTTGGTTATTGCGCTTGATCTGCACCCCCAGCGACAGATCCCTCGTCATACTGGATCCGCGCTCCCAAGGCATTGGTACCACGTAAATCAATCACGCCGGCCTCGCCCTCGTAAGGCCACGATTCCCCGCGAATTACGCTGGCTCAACTCTCACAGGGCCTCCTGAGACTTCCGCGCCCCGTGCAGCCAGACCGTATCATAAGGACGCAGGATGAGGATGCAAGGGCCTCGGAAGGCCATGTCGACACTTTGCGAGCGGAGCGGCGGCCAGCGAAAGCGGCCAAGGATGGGCCGAAGGAGAAGGACGCAAGGGTAACCTTGGAAAGTTGCTCATCCTTACCATGCGGGTTGACCATGATTTGTCGAGGATGCCGTGCGGGGGGCTCGCCATCCTCGAGCGGGCACTCACGGAATCAACTTGCTCAACCTTTGTGGAAAACGTCTGCGCATCTGGGCCCCGTTTTTCTATGAGTAATAATTCTAAACCTACGAACCCCTTCTTCTAATGGAGGCCGGGCTCTCTGGACCCTGCTATTCATAGTGGATCCGATATGGGGGGGCGCACGTTCCTCGAGCGGGCACACGCGGGATGCACCCCGTTTCTTATCAAGAGTAACTCCACCAGCCCTTACATAGCACCAGGGACAAACTGCAGAATTCGAAGAGGATGCCCACCGTGGACTCCACGATCAGCTCAGTCGCACCTGCTGCAGCCGGGGACGTCAATATAGTCCGCACCAGCGCCTGCGGGGAGGAGGAGGGAGGAAGAGGAGGATGAGCAGGAGGAAGGGAGCATAATGAGGTGGAGGACGAGGAAGAGATGGCTCGTGTTGGGCTGCCTCGAGGCAGCACAGCGAGCTTGGATGAATCACCTGCGCTCCACCGCGCTGCCGTCTCCAAAAACGCTTCTCATACCCTCTCTGACCAAGCAGGGGGACCCCTACTTTACACCACGCTGGTCCTGGCCAGACTCGTCGGGCTCGTCCGCGTCCCCCGAATCGTCCAGCGCGCCAGTCGGACTCCCAGTCGGACTCCCAGTCGGCGCCCGCGTGGGGCTGCCAGTCGGCGCCAGGGTGGGGAACGGCGACACCTGAGGGAGGCTCTCGGTGGGAGCAATCGTCGGGCTCCCAGTTGGCCTACCCGTTGGCGTGTCAGACTCGTTGGGCTCGTCGGTGGTCGGACTCCCAGTCGGCGCCCGCGTGGGGCTACCAGTCGGCGCCAGGGTGGGGAACGGCGACACCTGAGGGAGGCTCTCGGTGGGAGCAATCGTCGGGCTCCCGGTTGGCCTACCCGTTGGCGTGTGAGACTCGTCGGGCTCGTCGGTGGTCGGACTCCCAGTCGGACTCCCAGTCGGCGCCCGCGTGGGGCTACCAGTCGGCGCCAGGGTGGGGAACGGCGACACCTGAGGGAGGCTCTCGGTGGGAGCAATCGTCGGGCTCCCGGTTGGCCTGACCCGTTGGCGTGTCAGACTCGTCGGGCTCGTCGGTGGTCGGACTCCCAGTCGGACTCCCAGTCGGCGCCCGCGTGGGGCTACCAGTCGGCGCCAGGGTGGGGAACGGCGACACCTGAGGGAGGCTCTCGGTGGGGGCAATCGTCGGGCTCCCGGTTGGCCTGACCGTTGGCGTGTCAGACTCGTCGGGCTCGTCGGTGGTCGGACTCCCAGTCGGATTCCCAGTCGGCGCCCGCGTGGGGCAACCAGTCGGCGCCAGGGTGGGGAACGGTGACACCTGAGGGAGGCTCTCGGTGGGAGCAATCGTCGGGCTCCCAGTTGGCCTACCCGTTGGCGTGTCAGACTCGTCGGGCTCGTCGGTGGTCGGACTCCCAGTCGGACTCCCAGTCGGCGCCCGCGTGGGGCTACCAGTCGGCGCCAGGGTGGGGAACGGCGACACCTGAGGGAGGCTCTCGGTGGGAGGCAATCGTCGGGCTCCCGGTTGGCCTACCCGTTGGCGTGTCAGACTCGTCGGGCTCGTCGGTGGTCGGACTCCCAGTCGGACTCCCAGTCGGCGCCCGCGTGGGGCTACCAGTCGGCGCCAGGGTGGGGAGCGGCGACACCTGAGGGAGGCTCTCGGTGGGGGCAATCGTCGGGCTCCCAGTTGGCCTACCCGTTGGCGTGTCAGACTCGTCGGGCTCGTCGGTGGTCGGACTCCCAGTCGGATTCCCAGTCGGCGCCCGCGTGGGGCTACCAGTCGGCGCCAGGGTGGGGAACGGCGACACCTGAGGGAAGCTTTCGGTGGGGGCAATCGTCGGGCTCCCGGTTGGCCTGACCGTTGGTGTGTCAGACTCGTCGGGCTCGTCGGTGGTCGGACTCCCAGTCGGACTTCTAGTCGGCGCCCGCGTGGGGCTACCAGTCGGCGCCAGGGTGGGGAACGGCGACATCTGAGGGAGGCTCTCGGTGGGGGCAATCGTCGGGCTCCCGGTTGGACTGACCGTTGGCGTGTCAGACTCGTCGGGCTCGTCGGTGGTCGGACTCCCAGTCGGACTACCAGTCGGCGCCCGCGTGGGGCTACCAGTCGGCGCGTCGGTGGTCGGACTACCAGTCGGCGCACTCGTCGGGCTCGCCGTCGGCGCACCCGTGGGGCTTCGCGTCGGCGGCGTGCTGGTTGGGCTCGCCGTCGGCGCCGCCTCACGAGCGGCGAACGTACTATCCATATCCGCGCCCTCGCGGTCTGGATTCCGGGGCGCGACCCCGCGGATACGCAGCTGCACGCAGACGCTCCGCGTGGGGCATCCGCAGAAGCACGCCACGTATCCGCGGGGTCGCGGCCCGGGAGCCCGGCCCGCGAGGCCACGGCCTCGGACACGTCTTTTGCGCCCCCACGGCCACCGTGGGGCCCGGCGTGACCACCAGCCGGTTCAGGAACTGGCACCCCGCGTCCATGCTCCCCTCTGCAGGGAGCGTGCCGGCCGCACGCCGGCGCCGCTCCCTGGCCGGGCCGATCCTGGGCCCCAGAGGTCCGATGTCGCGACTCCTAACGCACGGGGCCCCCGGAAGTCTCGAGCGGCTCCCCGGGAGCAGCTCTTCTCGTCCCATTGCATGGGCCGCTCCTGGATGGCCCCGGGGCGCGGCGAGGGCCCCCTGGAGGCCGCACAGGGCGACAAAGACCTCCGTCTCGATTTTCGTCCATGCGTGGGACCTCTGCAGGTCCCGGATCGGCGCGCAGGGCTGCCAGGCGGCGCGGGCCCGGAGGGCGCACGCGCCGCGCCTGGGCCTGCCACTGCTCTGGCCAGGGTCGGCCCCGGTGCACGGTCGGCGCCCCCCGGCCTTGAACGTCAGGTTCCCGTCTGTCAGGTCCACCTGCTTGGAGTCCCGAACCGGTGCGGTGACAGACCGTGCGGTGACCTCGACATCCCCCAGGGCCTCACCGCACGGTCCGTCAACGCACGGCCGTGGGACCTCGGATGACCCAGTCGCCCGAGGCGTCCTCGGAGAACGATCCGAGTCCCAAAACCGTGCGGTGACCCCGAGTCCCCACCGACTCACCGCACGGTGTGGTCACCACCCCGTTTGGGGGCCCCCGAACCTGTTCGCAGGGCGCAGGAAGGCATGCCGGCGGCCGGCCCAGGGGGGCAGCGAGAGGGGGAGGGCCTGCTCAGAAGGCTCGGGCGCCCTCGGGCCTTCTGGGAAGACTGCTGAGCCTTCCCTGGAGGCACGGCAGACTTCTCGGGAGGCCAGAGGGCTTGCGAGAAGCCCCGCCGCCATCTGAGAAGGCCTCCTCCTTCTCCCTCCCCCCCCTAGCTCGCCGTCGAGCAGGAGAAGCGGTGGCTTCCGAACGATCCGACGCCACGATTTTGCTGGGCTTGTTTTCCACCGCCACCACCAGAAATAGTTAGGAGGGGGAGGGGGCCCTCCTCCCCCTCTTCCTCCTCCTCTTCCTCCTCCTCTTCCTCCTCCTCCTCCTCTTCCAGAGTCCTTCCTCCCTTCCAACTGATGGTGGTGGTGGTGGAAACAGGCCCATCAGACCCAGACCCCCGACGTCGTGATTTTTGTCACAGCGTCGACCACCCAGAGGTCTGGACCCGTTCCCTGTGACCGGTTTCTCGTCCTGCGTCGTTTTTTTTTCTTACGTTCCCGAGGACCAGGAAGGGCCCCTGGAGGCTGAAAATAACGCAAAAAAGCAGTCGTGATTTTTTACAGCGCGAGGAAGTCTGGGGATGTGTCTCCCGCGCGGCCTCCCGAGGTCTCGGCACCTGCCCCTGGGGCTGTGCCTTCGCGCCCCGGACCAGGTCTTCGCTGCCTCGCCTCGCGACGGCGCACGGCCTCGTCTCCAGGCTGCGAGAGCGGGGAGCGGCACTCGGCACTCCGCCTCCCTCATCCCTCCTCCTCCTCCTCCGCCTCCTCCTCCTCCTCCGCCTCCCCTCCTCCTCCTGTCCTCCTCCTCCTCCTCCTCCTTCCTCCTCCTCCTCTTCCTCCTCCTCCTCCTTCCTCCTCCTCCTCCTCTTCTCCTGCTCTCCTCTTTCCCTCCTCCTCCTCCTCCTCCTCCTCCTCCCTCCTCCTCCTCCTCCTCCTCTCCTCCTCCTCCTCCTCCTCCTCCTCCTCCTCCTCCCCCTCCTCCTCCTCTGGACGGTCTGCTAGGGCGGCACCGGGTAGCTGAACCTCCCATCTGCTGTCGTCGCACCGACCAAGGTGTCCAAGGTAGGATATTCCACGATGGGTGACCAACACCTCGATCAGCTCGATGCCCATCCACTCGTAGATCTGCGTCATGTTGATCTTCCTGGCTTCCATCTGGCGGAGCGTCAGACCTCGAGCCCGATATATCAAGTATCGTGCACAGCTTCCCACGAACGACTGCAGGCGGTCGAGGTCCCTGGCGGAGTACGCCCTCGCCTCGCTCCAATACAGCAGGCATCCTATCACGGCCGCGGTGAATATCTGACCCTGAACCTTCAGCGGCAACTTGGAGGCGCTCAGCGGGTACTTCATCTTGGCCCAGACTTGGGACGCTGCCTTGATCCTCTTGGTCGTATCCATCCTGGCTCCGCCGTCGGTGTCGACCCACGCTTCAAGCACCCTCACCGCATGATGGAAACCCTCGGGCAGCACGCTATTCTCGTCGTACACGCCCGTCCTCAGGAACCCGCCCTTCCCAGGGTGCACCTCCTCGCCGCGATCGCCCAGGGTGTCGAACACCATGCGCCTGGTGGCCTCGAGGTTCTGGGCTTCGGTCCACGACGACGCGTCGTCGGCGAACCCCATCACACGGAACACGCGTTGGACCACGTCGTCTGGATCCCTCCAGGTCTGCTTTCCCATCGCGCATCTCAGTCGTTTGGAGCGCTGCAAATTGATCCCAGGCAAAATTGCCACCAGCTCCCTCAAGGAATAGTTGTGGTATACATTGAACAGCCCACAGGAACTGGCGCATCCTTCCCTCAGGCCTCGGTAGAGGTGGTATACATTCGAGGTCCCACGGCGGAATTTGACCTGGTACTCGGTCTCGGTATGGAGTCGGCGGAATCATGCTACTAATGTCGGCGGCAGGCCTTCGATCCTCAGAGCTTCCCAAAGTGGCTCCCTCGGCACCGTGGGGCAGGTCATCTTGATGCCGGCAAGGTAGAGCACAGCCCGCTTCTTCCTGAACGTGTCGTGCTCGATCTCCCACTGCTCCCGATGCCGCTCCCAAGTGCCAGCCCGCTCGCACGCGGCGCGTGACCTCTGGGGATGCAACTCCCACTCTGTATGCAGCTCGCAAATCACTCTGGCGACGAAGCTGATATCCCGCGTTGACCGCCCTCTGCGGAAACCCCAATGCTCGTTGACCAACATCCCCTGCCCCTCGAAATAAACCGTGGCCCTCGCAATCGCAATCTTGGCTATGAGGCGGGCAAGGAACGTCAGCAAGCAAATCCCGCGATAGTTGTCGAGCGACGTGCGGTGACCTTTCTGCTTCCATAACATCAATGCAACTGCTTGATGGGCGGCGGCATTCCAATGCGGTCGGGGGGCGTCCTGAGGGGCATCTTTCCACATTGCACAGATCAGCTCGAACACTCGCAACTGTGTTGAGGTCGGGGCAATTCGAAGCATATCGACGGTCACTTCGTCTCCCCCTGGCGCCGAGACACGCGTGGCCTTCTTCGCGCGCACGAACTCGTCGAACGACGGCAAAGAATCTAACTCTTGAGCGATCGGTTTCTGGGCCCGATGGGCTGCCACCTGGACTTTCGGGGTGGCCTGGGTCCCACTGATGGTTTCGAAATGCTTGCGACAATCCTCGGGCTTGATAGTCTCGACATCCTGGAAGCTTGTGTTCCTGAGGTGGACCCCTAACTCCTTGAGCAATCCGTGCTGCTTGCCTACTTCGTAATTGGCATCGGCCCGCTGGATTTCGCCGCGCACCTCGTTTATCACCTCCCCTTTTTCTTGTACTCGAGAACCCTCTCGGGCTACTTCACTTGGATGTGACGGGCCTTCTCTTCGGGAAAGTGCGGGGTCCCCTTGGCCTGCTGCGCCAACCGATAACTCGCTGCTGCTCGTTCCCTGCTCTTGAGCAATTCTGGTCGGCATCGTTCGAGAGACGGCAAGTCGCACCGTCGGGATCCTCGACCTACGATCTTCTCGGCGACGCCGGTCAGTTGCGAGGCTAGCTCCCCCCACTCTGGAACGGCGTTTTGAACGTGGTTCGCTCTGATCGCGTCGCTCTCGCTCAGTCGCTGCACCCACTGGTTTCGGAGGTCGATCGCAATCTTCCCCGCCCCACGAGCTCGGTCCCATCGAATAGGTTTCTTGGGCTGGCTTATCTGGGGTCCTGGAGCTGTCTGCGACCTGGAAGGAGAGCCCGGCCGAGCGGCAGGAACGACACGGACTTGCCCCGATGGTCGCACCCCGCGAACTCCCTCGTCGTAAGCCTCCTACACTTCCGCCTCGTCCCCCCGAACGTCGACAGAAAAAATATCCTGGTCGTACCATCTCTGGAGTACTCCATGGAACCATGTCCCACGGTGCTTGCACGGCAAATATGGATCCACTGCTCGAAGATTCTCGCCCTGGGCCCAGTCGACTAGCTGGTGCGATAGTTTCGACGTCGGGGTTTGCAGTGTCATGGGTCCCACAAGTGTTCCTCTCTGGTCGGCTCCAAGGTGAGAGTTCGCGTCGCACCCAACGATCATCTGGCACCCTGAGCGTCGAATATTCTGAATCAAGATGGAGCCCTGTTCGAAATGTATGTTCCTCGCTAGCTTGGCTCCCTGCGTAGGCGCATACTTTGCACATATGACATACTGTGTTCCCTGAAGTCCCAAACGCATGCCTAACCATCTGTCCGTCCCTGGTGCCACTGCCATCACCGCCCCGTCCTGCTGCCACTTGCTCACCAAATATCTGGATATAATGATTGCTACCTTTCCAAACACAAACATCGTACATTCTTCCACACCAAAAATCGCTGGAACGCGCTCCCCACCAAATATCCACTCGGGCGTGTTCACGCCTGGCAGAACCATATAATGTGCACGCTCTGCGCGCACGCACGTCACAATATGAGCCAACGTACTCCGATACATATGCTGTGTCCGAGACATCTGTTGTACACTCCAGATCCACATGCGAAGTTCTGAAAGTGTCTGTTGGGCGTTGCAGGCATGCCATTTTCTCCGAAGTCGGAGAGCCCTGCCAGTGCTGCATGAAGAAAGCCAGGTAGATGCTGGCGTTGCGGTGGGCGATGAACGATCGGACGCAGGGACGCCAAACATGTGCGCGCGAAAGGCACGGGGCCTCTTGTGAGTGATAAAACCTTCTGTCTCGGGGCCGACCATCATCACGGATGAACACAGTAGAGATCCCCACTGAGCAGCTTCTGTCAGATAGCAAACATCCGTCCGCAGCCCCCCCCCGATCCCCTGGCGCCACCGTGGAGGCAGTTGCATGCTCGAGCCAGGTGCTCCTGCTCCTCCTCCTCCTCCTCCTCCTCCTCCTTCTTCTCCTCCTCCTCTCCCCCTCCTCCTCTCTCCTCCTCCTCCTCCCTCCTCCTCGTCCTCCTCCTCCTCTCGTTCTCCTCCTCCTCTTCTTCCTGCTCCTGCTCCTCCTCCTGCTCCTCTGCTCCTCGTGCTCCTCCTGCTCCTGCTGCTCCTCCTCCTCCTCCTCCTCCTCCTCCTCCTCCTCCTCCTCCTCCTCCTCCTCCTCCTCCTCCTCCTCCTCCTCGTTTTCCGCCCTGCTCGTCCTCCCCATCCTCCTCCTCCTCCTCCTCCTCCTCCTCCTCCTCCGCCTCTTAGTATTAGTAGTAATATCAAGATTATGATTATTACTATTAGTAATGTTATTATGAGTATTATTATTACCATCATTTCTACTATTAG